ATTAATCTTTATAAACTTGTTCATCTAGAAAACGATTGAAAAGGACATTATTGGCATCTATATGCTTGATTCGCTATAAATAAAAGCAGGAGAAGAAAGTTTTATAATGACAAGTTTAATGGTAAGAGAAAATGCTTCATAAGAAAGTTGATCCCATGAACTTGGTGAAATCATTTGACAACAAGTCTTGTTTGTACTCGTTCAGAGATCCATAGAGATTTTCCTTAATGCAAAATACTCTTTTGCATCCAATAACATTTTTATTATGGGAAAAGGGACAAGGCTTCAAGTTTTATTGTATATTAAGGCACCATATTCGTATTTGGTGGTAGTCATCCAATGTGGTTGTTCGAGGGTTTGTTTGGTAGTTTTGGTTTCAATGTTAGTAAAGAAAATGGATTGTTGAAGTTAAGGTATATAAATTCCCCTTTTGAACCTAGTTTGCATATGGCAAGGATGTGAAATTGATGAAAATATATTATTGTGTAGCTATGTAAGGGTTAGAAGGATGAGATCTTGTCCATGTGGTGAGATTAATTATAAAGGAGAGTATGGTATTTGAAGGAATACATGATGGATGTTATTTGACATGGTTAAAAGGTTCAAGAGAAAGAGGGACATGAGTTTGTGATAAATTTGGTGTTATGTCACCAACAAGGGAGAAATAGTTGAAAACTTAAGTGACGAGTGACCAATATATGAAGGAAAGATATTACTAGTAATAGGAAGGACACAAATGACATACATAAGATCCAAAGATATAGATGAAGTCGTAGAAATTAAATACACTACTACAAAAAACATTATTTCACCTCAGACGCGAAAGGGATATAACCTCAATTACACAAGCGAAATAACAAAGGGCGTCATGAAAAATCTCCATTATACCCATCGGTTTCAGATTAACCAAAGAGATAATTGAAATAGTCATGGATTCGATTCCCAACAACAACATATTTATATTTTCAAAACTATTCCCACATACCTCTCGGTTTGTGTTAAACAAATGAGAAAAAAATTATTATTTTTTAAATACAAATTACAATGTTTACACTAAATATTAAATTAGACTATTTACACATAATAATTAAATTACACTACATATTAAATTCATAGTTTCTAATGTTACATTATTTTGATTTCAATCTACAAGTACAATTTTGTATAAATTTGATTAATCATCGTCACTTTGAATAAATTCAAATTTACCCAATATTTTTCAAGATCAATGGTTGGCACGCTTCAAATTTCTGATATAACATAAACATAGGTTAGATACGTAACATAAAATTCAAGTAAAAAGATAAGATATTATGTAAGAACACCAACATTGGAACAATTTTCTTTTGCACTTGCAATCCATTTGAGAGATTTGTTCCAAGCTTTTTTTATTAATATTTTCATTATTTTCATGGAAAAAAATTTCATTATCAATGTTTTAGTTACCCAAGATAGCATCATAGATATATAGTGGCGTTGTTCGCATTCTTATTGGATATAGAGAGTTTCTTGTGAATTGATGTGTTGGTAATATATTTGGCGTTGTTACTTTATGAATGTAAGACATAGATTCGTTGTTGGCTAACTAAGTAACTATACTCATCGGTTCTTTTATAAAATCGATGGGAAAAATTATTTCATTATTAATTAAAAATAAAATAAAATAGGGATTTTCCCCTCAATTATATATATAAATCGAGGTAATATATTATTTGCAGAAAAAAAGGTGAATGGTAAAAAATTGAAAGTAACATGTAATGTTTTTTTTTCTTTCAATTTTTTTTATCACTCATCACTTTCTTTGTGTGTTACAATATTCAACATTTCTTTTAATTTACAATATGTTCATGAATAAATTTCTCAATATTGTCAATCGAGGAAAACAATAAATCATGAAGTATTTTCTTTGATTGACAACATAAGAAGGTTATCCCAAAATATAACAATGACTTTGCAACAGAGGTGGAAACAACAACAATAGCAATATAAAAAGCACTATTATATGAGATGGATTGCAATAGCTGAAAAAAAATATTTTGTTCAAGGTTGGTGTTAGAAGAACAACATACAACAAAAAACGTTGAATATTTTTTCAACTTTGCAATTCATACCAAAGAATGATGTATACAAGTTTGGAGCATCTTGGTTTAGGGTAAAACATAATGAACGGGTGCTTTTATAGTGAAACTTAATCATCTAAACCCTCAGTTATCAAAGAAACTGGAGGAATAGATCAATTAATTAATAAATAAATAATAACTAAAAAGAAATACACCATTTTTAAATAAATAACACCTAGACTGCTTTTGCTGGGATTCAAAGCATGTTACAGATTACTTTTCTCCTGATTATATTCAATATCTGAGGGAGTAAATGATATTTTTTTTAAATACATCATGGTGCGTCCTGGAATTATACTTAGGTTTTTTGCTCGGTGAAGTAAAAATATTATCATGAAATGTATTATTTGTAGTAGCGATATGATGAAATGACCTAACAAAGGTATCAAACAAGAGTGAATAAGTAAATCTAGACTCATTAAATAAGACTTCATTAGAAATATAGAGTATACAACTTAGTGAAAAAAGTTTATAACCTTTATAAGTAGTGGAGTATCCTAGAAAGAGAGATTCATGTGACCAGGGTCGTGATTGATTCAAAAAATATGGGTGAATTTAATCCCAAAGTTGATGAGCACGGACACAATCAATAACCTAGGTCATGACCAATCCAAAAAATGTTTATTCATGCCAAGAAAATAACCATTGATTGTTCCTGATATAAGGAAGACAATCATTGAGATATATTGAGAAGGAATCATAGTATGTTTATCCTAATACCCACAAAAGGAGATTTTCAACCTTTTTTTTGTTGGGATGGGTGAAAACATGGAGTTTTTTTAGAGATAAACTTAGAGGGAAAAATAAATGGATTCTTATGATTCATTATTATAAGAATTATAAGCTCTTTATGGGATATCTAAAGGGATATATAAACACTTCTAAATACCTCGAGTTTATGTGATTCATATATTAATTGAAGGAAAGATTAAGAAACACTTGGGTAGAAAATACAATAAGTTATTATGAACTAGGAAGAGTATTTCTTGTAACTCACATTGTAATATCTTGTAATGATTTTTTAATTATAGAAGATTTGAAAGCTTCTATCTCCCCTGGAGTAGATCAGTTTGATCAAAGTAGATAAACAAAATTTGTGTGTCTCCCGATAAATAAAAATTCTAGACATGGTTCATAATCTGATGTATCAGAATTGGAAGTGAAAAGAAAATTTAATATTTGGGCATACACAATTCAACCCCCTTCTTGCGTATTTTTATCACCTTCACACCTCAAAAGTATGGGCTAGATAAACACATGTACATGGCCATTTTGGAGAGGACAAGGTGCATGCTGCTAGGCGATGGGCTACGAAAAATTTTATAGGGTGAAGTTGGTAATACTGTAACTTACCTGATCAACAAATGTCCATCCATCTGAATCAATCTCTCATTTTATTGCAAAATGACATATGAATGCGTTTGGATGGAGAATATGAGATCTCTAAGTAAGTTTTTGATATATTAACTTTCCATAGATGCCCCAATGATTCTTGAGCAGTGGTGAGGAACTCTTAGTTGTTATGGCAATACCGACACACATTAAGACAAAATGGTTAATCTACCTTAGGGGTTTCAATCTTACCCATGCGACCGCGCTAGTGAGAGCAAGACAAAGTTATATATTTTTCGTGGTTGCAACAATTGTTTGCATGTTCTAAGGATTCACATTGGTTACGGAAAGAGTTAAAACATTGAGCATGTAAACTCTTTGATGATAAAGTCGACGATGGCCATAAGTGTGAGATTCAGGTTCTAGAATAGTATGTACTTGAGTATGATATATCCTCTTAATTACAAGGTTCTGAGGCCTTATAATCTTCTTCTTGAGATAAAGTCTCACATGACAAATGACTAAAGATCTCACAATTCACAAGTGCGGCCATTTCATTGTTCTAAGGTCATATAACCTTTTTTTCGTCATCTTGTTCACAGTGTAGATGTTAGAGGATTTGAGTGTTTATCTTATTTGACAGTTCTTGAATAATTAGTTGAATTTTAACCTAGTACGATGTTAGGGTTTGATCGTCTTATAATTCCAAGGTTCTAAATCATTCTTTGAGTACAATAATCCTCAACCATATCAGAGAAAACATGTAGAGATCCTGCATCCCTTTTGATAGAAAACCTTAAGCAGTTATGCGAGTTCCAAGATACTAAAACATGGAATTGAAAGAAATAAAAACTCCTTAATCATATTAGAGAATATATGTTGAGATTTAATAGTTTCCTATGTTTCAGAGACCTTGAACAATTGTGTGGATAATAAGATGCTTTGACGTTATCTTTATGTTGATGGTGTTAGGTCTTGATTGAGATCAAAACATGTCTAATGTTTTAAAAATTTAGACAAAATGTGATATTTGATTCTTTGTGAAGTATGTCTCTCCTTGCATTCTCTTAAACTCTCCTGATAAATAAAAATTCTAAAAGAATTAAATAAAAAAAACGTAGACATGATGATTTAAATAAAAAAGATGAATTAGAAAGCTAATTAGAAATGATGTGAAAAATTGAAAAAGAAAACATACATTCTCCGCACCCTTATCTATGTACTTTCCTTTTCACCCTACTCTCTATCCCTAATCTTACCTCTTTGTTCCTCTGTCTCCTACTCTGTTACTTCATTTTCTTCTTTCATCTCTTTTTACTATTTACACCTTACTAGTATTTCCCTTTTCATCGTCTCCATACCCTTTCATTTTCAACCCTTTACACTCTCTCTCATCCTTTTCTTTCCACCTCACACGTTCTCATTCTATCTCTCTTCTTTATAATATTGCTCCCAACCACCTCAAACACACACACACACACAAACACACCAAACTCAACATCAACAAACAAAGCTTCTCCCTCAACATTCTTTCACTCAACCACACAAATGGATCAAGTGAGTGTTCATTCTTTATGTTACATATACTTATGTTACCTTAACTTCATGTTCTAATCATGTTCTTGTTTTTTTTTCTGGGGGGTGTAAATATAATAGGAATATCACTTTAAGAGGAACCATGTGCCAGCATTTGGAAGCTGGGATTGGAATGATAATCTTCCATTCACACAGTGCTTTGAATCTGCAAGACAAGGTGGTTTTCTTCACTATAGTTACAACTCTGAGAACGAAGACCAAGATCTTTATGTTGCTGGAGATTTGTATGATAATCATGTTGTTACTCCTGCTATGATTGTTGTTCCTCGTAGAAGGGTATGTTACCTTAACTCTCTTGTTCTTCTTCTTTTACTCTTTTTTTTCTTATTATTTTATATATTCACCATTATGCATATTTTTCTTTACTAAGTCAAATTTATAAAATTACACTACAATTTTTTTAATTAATTTATTATCACATTTAACTCTCTATTATAGGATAAACTTATATTTATTTATTTTTTTCAAAATTTTTTAATTAGGAGATATGTAGGAGAAGAAGTACTAGAAAGTTATGTTCATTGCATCATAGTAGTAGTGATTATAGGTTTTTTAGATAGTGAGTGAGTGTTAGCTTTTTAAAAGAAAAATAATTAATTTGTCTATGTTATGTTATGTCACATGACTTTATAATTGAGCCTCCTATTTAATTGACATTAATGATTCACGCCTAGCGTGACAAATTATTAAAGCAAGAGCTTTCTGACATGAAGACCATTTAATTTATGATATTGTTTATATTTATTTAATAATGAATTTAACTTTAGCCTTTATCACCTATGTTAATGGGTCACCAAAAATAAAGACAATAGCATCCATAGGTATCATAACAATCAAAAATTAAATTCATAATGACACATAGCACACTATGTAGCTTCAAGTGTCACTTTTTATAAAGTATCAACAAAATTATTAATTTGTTTTTGACATTATAGGAAAAGCTACGTTCCCAAAATGAAAAAGATGAAAAAAATCAAAATTGGATGAACAATGTGATGAATGAGGCAGCAATGTCAAGACCAACACCAAAACCAGTTGATGAAGATTTGTACAAAATTTCACCAGATCTTCTTTATGTCAAAACTACCAAGGTACTACTTTTTCATTTTTCTCCACTAAAAATTAAATTTTCATTAACTTTATTACTTTTCTTTTATAAATGTCTTTTGTTAATGTATATTCAATTATTCATACTTTTGCTCTTTTCTTCTTTAGCAAAAGTTTTATTTTTTATAAACTTTCTTTTCTTTTATTGCAGAAAAGAGGCTTGTGTTTCTTTCCAAGTTGCTTGTTTCCAACTTGCATTGGATGAGACAAGAAATATTTGAGAGAGATTAATGTATATATAGAAGTGATTAAATGGAGACATTATTGATTAGTAGATAGATATTCTCTTGGATGATATTTATTTGGAAGTATAATATTTAAGGACCAAGAAGATTATCATATTATATATTTTTTTCCACCTAAAGGGTTTGTTTTTTTATTTATTTTTAATATTTAGTGTTTGATGTGTTTTGGGTATCATTGCTTGGACTTTGAACTTTGTCTGTAAAAGCTCTGTTACCAGAAATTAAAGAGAGAAAAAGTCAAAAGTTAATCTATAACATTATTATTATTATTATTATTATTATTGATAATATTATTTTTTATTTATTTATTTTTTATTTTATTTTTTTATGCATTTTTTCTCTTTAAAATTTCTAAAATTTATTTTTTATTATAGTGGCGGACAATCACAAATTAACACATAATAAAAACACAAGAGTAACGAAAATGCAAAACCCACAATAATAAATCCATTAATTTTTTAATTTGGGAATGTTTTTTCCACCTTAGGATAAAACTCAAAATTGTTCTTGGATCTTCGAAATACTTTAAATTATTTTATTTTTCATAAATCAAATAATCACTTTTTTATTATTTAAATTTGATTTGGAGATACATCGGTGAAACTTTCTGAATCTATTTACTTTACGTTTTTCATTGAGTTGATTTATTTAATTATTTAGTGACATTTTCGAAAATGCATTTTTAAAAATGTCATGCGGAAACTTGAATATATCACCACCTTGATCTTTCCCCCCATGCTTCATATCACTTCCATAACCAAAAAACCTTAAAAATTTCTTTCTCAATCAACTTTTTATTCCAAATCACCATTCTTGTGTTTTATAACATCAAATGGAGCAAAAGAAGTTGTAATTTAAGATAAAATTCACTAATTTCATCACTCATGCTTGCATTAACCTTGTTCTTGAGTTGAAAAATGAACATTACTTCCGGATGTGCATCTTTAAATTTACCTTTTCATGTTTCGGATGTGCATATTTGTATTTTCTTACTATTGTGAGTTTTTAAGTAATTTGTTGTCTTGATTTGTATTAGATATGGTGTACCCAGATATGTTTTTCAAAACTGCAAGTAATGTTGTAAAACCGAACGAGTTGAAGGATGATGTTAAATCGGGTGCTAGGCCGATTATTATCGAGATAGATGTTGGTTAACAATTTAGAAATGAATAACTATTTACTGCTCGTGAACATATGCTTCAATGAGTTCGTATGGTGGTCAGGAAATTGGGGGTTGTCATTGTAATCAGAAGGTTTGAAAATGGTTCAAATAAAAGGCAAGCATTTGCAACCATGAGATGCGATAAAAGTGACACGCACATTCCACAGATTTAGAAGTTGAACGTGATGACATCGAATCGAGAAAATGTGAGTGTTCGTTTAAATTGCACAAATACTGTAAGGTGAATGATACATAGAAATTTAATGTGGTTTATGGTATACATAATAATGTCTTGCAAACCGAGCTAGTCGGTCATCCCATTGTATGTCGCCTTAAATCAGAGGAGAAGGAAGTTATTTCAGACATGTTTAATTAGAGTGGCGGCGAAAAACATACTTGAAGATTTGAAACGGAAAAGACTTGAAAGTGTTTCAAATATCAAACTGGTACACAATGTGTGTGATCAAAACAACATGGTGATAAGATGTTTTATATCTGAAATGCAACAACTTTTAAAGCTTTTGGATGATAACCACTATGTTTATAGGTACATAATTTGTGAGGATAAAATCATTGTTCGTAACATATTTTGGACTGGTCGCGAAAGTATCAAGTTGTTCAACATATTTTCCACTATTTTCATAAGTGATTCAACGTATAAAACCAACAAGTATAGGTGTCCTCTTCTGGAAATAATTGGTGTTACATCTACGAAGAAGACTTTTTCAGTGGGATTTTCATTTTTTGAATCCCAAAAAGAGATCAACGTTACATGGGACTTGAAAATGTGTAAGTCTTTATTGAAGAACCAAGAAAACTTGCTGAATGTAATTGTCACCGTTCAAAACACCACATTGGTGAATTTAGTTGCAAAGATGTTTCATACATCCTACTCATTACTTGTTGATTCACATAACAAAAAATATAAAAAGTCTACTCAAACACGCGGTAGACACCAAACAAATCAAGGGTGAAGACAAAAAAATGGTGAAACCTAGTCTGGTGTTGGAAAAGATAATGGATGCTTGAAATGGTATATTAAGTTCATCCACAGAGGACTTGTATACTGCCTCTGTAATGCATTTTAGGAATGTGTGTCAAATATCAAGATTTCCTAAAATACAATGAGGTACTATTCTGGACCAAGTAAATGAGAAAATTGTTTATTCTTGGACCGATTAGGTTAGACGTCTCGACAATACAATTAACAGAGTCAAATCTGCACATTAGGAATTGTAGAAATGGTTGGGTGATAGTAAGGGTGATTTTTGTAGAGAGTGGGATGTCGTGAACCAAATGCTCCAAAACCAACATAATGAAATACAAAAAACCTTTGGTTAGAGCATTAGAGAGTTAGAACACCGATTCAAAGACAACACTATCTGTTTGTAGTTGGTTGGCAACGTATCACGGACGGGATTGAATTTCATTTTTTACGAAGCATAGCAAGCATAGAAAAGTAGTTCGAAGTGTGGATGGACACACCTCTCGCCGATCTAATATCCAAATTGAATACTCTTCAACAACATCCAGAAAATCATAGAGCTGTCAAGCTCAAGCATCGTTCGCCCTCGTGTGAAAGCGAAGGGAAGATACAATCCACCAATTTTGAACTGAAGATGAATGCAAATTTAAGTGTTGTGTTGAATACGTTTTACCGTTATCATCAAAGAGTTCAATTGAAGTGGATGGGAAAGATGGAAGACCCGTCAAAAATATTATCAATGTTGAAATGCCCTCAACTACTTGTTTATAACAATATGTAATGTTAAATTTACATTAACAATTATCTATGTAATGTTGAGTGTTTTAGTTTAATGCAAAGTTGTTTTTGCTTCTAGGTCTTTCTCATACTATTTATGTTTCTGGTTCGAAGTATTAATGTCATTTTCAGATATGTATATCCAAAGTATATCAAATAAGCTTTCGGATATGCAACTCCACACTAAAATTAAGTATAATAAGGGTGTTTCACTCGTTTGCGTTTAATTTGGTGAGAAATTGATGCATCCGAAAATGTATTTTCAAATTCTAAAAACATTTTGAATTTTCACCAAAAATTTGTGAGAAGGTATAAAGGTGGGGAAAAAAGAAAAAAAAACCCTTAATAATTTAAAATAGAGAATTTAACTTGCCACCCTCCATATTATAACTGACACCCCCCATATTTTGAAAATTGCAAAAACATCCTTATTATTATTTACCAATCAAATTTTACTTTTCTTTCAAAATTTTCACTCTTACTAACATACCTAAAACAAAATTTCCGATAGGACAATCGAAATTTATGGTACGCATTTTTTTGCATTTCTTGAAAATTTGGCATTTAAACTGAAAATTTGAAAATTTCTAATAAAAAATTATGGAAATTTCAATATTTATGGTAAATAATATCGAAATTTTCAAAAGTTTTGGTAAATAATATCGAAAATTTTAAAATATCTGATAAAAAAATATCAAAAATTCCAAAATTCCTAATAAAAAATATCAGAAGTTTCAAAATTTCTGATAAAATACTAAAATTTTCAAAATTTTCGATATAAATTTCTAAAATTTCCAAAATAAACTAAAAAGTTCAGATAAAATACTGTAAATTTCAAAAATTTCAAAAATTTCAAAAAACTTTCTTGAAATATAAAAGTAAGTTTACTCAAAATAGAGGGGGTGTCAAATTCAAATGGGATTGCCAAATTAAATGTTCTTTAAAATGGTACATCCATAAGCACAAATATGTGTGAATTTTCTTTGGCCCAATTTACTATTAGTGAATGTTTTTGGAAAATTTTGCCTTATACCCTCACTATTATACCTCTATTTCTATATTTTTAAAAATATTTTAATTCTAACTTTTTCATTTATCAAATAATTTTATTATTTAATATTTATTATTTTTTGATATGTATTTTTTTCACCAAATAACTTGTAATCAAATTTTTTGATATGTATTTTTCTTTACCAATTAAGTTGCAATCAAATTTTTCGATATGTATTTTTTCTTCACCAAATAACTTACAATCAAGTTTTTTAGTATGTATTTTTTCTTCATTAAATAACTTGTAATCAATTTTTTTGATATATAATTTCTCTTCACCGATTAAATTACATATCGAAAAACTTGATTGCAAGTTATTTGATTAAGAAAAAATACATACCGAAAAATTCGATTGTAAATTATTTAGTAAAAAAAAAAATACATATCAAAAAACTTGATTGAAAGTTATTTGGTGAAAAAAATTCATACCAAAAAACTTAAAACTTAATTACAAGTTATTTAGTGAAAAAAAAAATATCAAAAAATTTAATTTGGAATAAAAATACATATAAAAAATAATAAATATTAAATAATAAAATTATTTAATAAGTAAAAATGGTAGAATTAAAATATTTTAAAAAAATATAAAAGTAGAGGAATAATAATAAAGATATGAGGTAAACTTTTCATGTTCTTGAAAACCATAACTACATTTTCACAACCTTCCAATTTATGACTTAGACAAACAATCATAATTTTTGTCTTTCCAGTGAAATCTTTTAATATTATTTTTAAATTTTTATTCATTTTTATATTTCATAACATTAACGCATATAAAGATTAGAGTAGAGAACAATATAAAGAGAAATTGTTTACTAATTTGACTAAATTATTTATATTTATGATTATAGAGTAATTATAATTTTATTTTATTAATTCATTATAAATTACACAAACTAGGGTATAATATCAGGATGCTAATGACCCAAATTACAATAACCGACATTTTATATGTATTTTTTATTTTATTTGCCACTTAATAAGCT